ATCGTATTCCGCAAAGATCGGCTTATTATCAAATAGGTTCGTCGACCATGCAGAAGCAGGGATTTTGCGTAGGACGACGCATGGCAATGAGACTCTGCTGGAGCACTCCTTACATATTCGCTCGAGTTGTACAGTATTTGGGAATCCGTTCGTTTCTACGGATATATAGGGAATATAATATATGTTGGGGGTTAAGTGAGCGGGATATTGGGAAACGGGAGGAAATGATTAGCTCATTCCGATATATAGCGAGCGACACATGGCGCAAATGAAAAGCAGCGTGCATTAATCAGCATCAGGAGATGATAATCGAGTGGAAACAGCTGCATTTAGTCGGTCGGGGTTTCCGTCCTCATCCGCCAGCACTGCAGCTGCTCACTTCGTCATCAACCGACTCCTCGGATACCCACCACCGTCGTCTCGGAATTTCATCACGATTCCTGTCAAATCCGCGACCATGACGTGTTTCCGCAGCGTGGAGCGAATGGAATATAGACCCGATTTTATTGCTGATGGCGTTGCAGTCAGCTCAGCTGTGGCATGCATGCACACTTGCTCCTGCTGCTGAGGTGGTCGCCTTCAATCAATCATCAATCAGTGATATACAGCAGTATTAGGCTCTTTGATCTGGGAACCTGTTACAGTGAAACCCTGAGATGCAGATGTAATTTCTGCATCAAGAGTGTCCCCAAGTCAAAATGTCCCTAAAGTTGAGTCTTGCTTTCCCATAGACTTACATTATATCATGTTTAATTGGTGTTTTATGGAAGAAATCTACTTTGGAATTCCCTGAAAAAAATTGTTTGCAACTTGAATTTGAATTCCAGAATACATTTTCAATGCAATAAGAACATATGGAGCATAGTGTATCTCTGTACTATATACACTGAAATTTTGGCATCTACAAAAATCACATTCAATTGAAAAAAGTAGGAGTCCCACTATGCTGGAGGTATTTTTTTATAAATAGCTAAATGGATGGTAATTTGGTAAGAGAAATGCCCAGGAACTAATCTCACAACAATTTTAGGGTTGGAAATATCTGTTTGTTGTAATTTGGCCTGAAATGTATTTGCAATTTTATCATAAAATGTCCCTATGTTGAGTCAGTGTCCTCATGTTTGGGCTTTATTTATTGATTATTTCTGGGAAAATGAGTGTCCCTATGTCAAATTGTCCACAGGTTGAGGTGTCCACACGTGGGGGCCTCACTGTATGCCTCTTTATGCATCCTTTTGCATTTGCCCATCGCGCAGAATTTGTTGTTGTTGAGATTTCCCTTTTATTTTCTGATGCGAACCCAGAGCGAGTGTTACAGAAATTGGATCCACATGTTCAAATTGTTGGATGAGTCTTCGAGATGTATATGTAATATCATGGAGTCATTTGCAAGACTGCTTCTTTATTGTTCCTAATTAATCCCCACCGCCATCATACGGTGGCGATCCCGTCATCGACAGGCACAGCATATACGACTAGTGTATATGCGAGGAATGGGGCACCGCCGTTTAATTATATCCGGAGCAACAGCTTGAGGGATTTCAAACGCGCGTTCGGAAACTTGATTTCCGCGGCAGCAGCAGCAGCACGGCGGAGAGGATTATTGTTCCGGATCCTCTTGCCGCCCCTGATCTCTGTATCGGAAGGAAGGATCTCCCTCGTCATTGCTGATGCCACGACACGTCGTCTCCTCGTCGACGCCCTATTTTCGCGCACATCAACGACGACGGTAAGTGCCGTGTCCCCCCCACTTTCTTGTTGTTGAGCCCCCCAAAAAAAACGGCGGACTCTTCTATATAATATGTACATCAGAAGGCAGTCGTCCAATCAGGGAATGTTCAAGTATCGCAACCGACCGCGTTCACCTATATACAGTACTTTACACTGTACAGTAACAAGCCACGATCCTCTCACTTATTCGCGTGAAAAGTAGGAAACAGGACAACGGAATAGAGGAATGATGCGGAGGAACCCATTTAAAACATGTACTTCATAAAGAGCATTCGTTTTCAAGAATAAGGTTTGTCTCCTTCCATTGGAGTTGATTTACCCTTGGACAACAGCAGCCTCCTTTCCATCCAAGGGCGAAGTCGAAATTTTTCCCCTATGGGCCTGCATTATATTTTTGCACAAGGCTATGCAACACCTGCCAAGTGGGGGAGGCCAACGTCAGATTTTATCTGGGATAAAGAAATGCTGGAAAAGTCAGACTTTTTCCACATTGACCTGGGCTCCTGGCTTTCAAGCATAATTTTAATCTTTGAATGGGGAAACAACACGAGGCCAGGGGAAAAAAGGGAGCCCTGAAGTTTTCATTTTTTTGTTTTCAAGTGAAATTTTTCTGTGGAAAATTAAAAAAAAAAGCCAGGATATTTCCCAAATTTGCCCTGCAAACACTGTTGAAGGTTTTTCAAATTTCACTCTTGAGTGCAACCAAAATCTGCAAAAAAACGTCCAACTTTGCCACAGAAAGGTCAAGATGAATTTAGGATATGTAACTGTAATTGACACAAACTGCACATACAATACTTGACAGCTTATTTTTAAAATTGGGGTGCAAAAAAATACAGCAGGAATCCTACAGGAAAGTGTCAACCATTGAAGCACATGTGTGAAAAAAACATCTCTGGTGGAAAGAAATTCAATTCCTGCTGTCACCTTGATTATTTTTTTTATCACTCTTTACAGTGGTCATCCATTCAGTTACCCGTTTGACCAGGCTACATACATGCAGTTCAAAGTGGAAGTTGTGAGAGTTTGCTTTATCTTGTTGCTGTTGAGAGATTTTATGTTTAACATTCAGTTGAACACGTTGGGTTTGCTTGATTGGTTATTTTGCCATTGGTTGACAAGGTTAGGTTAGGTTAGGTCTGTTTGGGTTGAGTTGAGTTGGTTGATGTTATGTTACCTTAGGATTGTTCAGGTGTGATTATATACGTAGGTTCTTCTCATCCAGGTAAGGTTGGTTCAACAGTTCATTGAGATTCTGGAATACTGTACTGTACTGCATTATGCAAGCCTTCATAACAAAGCAGCTGCCTGTTGAGTGAAAAAACTTGCCCAAACAAAAATCCTCTGGATAATGCTTGCATACCCTATATTAATTGGAGGGTTGAAAAATTGAAAACATGACGAAGTCCTGTGGACGAGGTGGTGCTGCTTTCTCCTGAATTTATGTTTTTTCCCGAACTGGTTTTGGACCCCTCATCCAGGAATCCAGAATGTTTTGAACCCAACTTGGGAATCCAGAAACATCCACAGTGCATCATTTTTTTCTGGTACAGTACAATGTGGACCAAGTCCTCTTTTCCAGGAAGGAAGTTTGAAGAGGAGGGGAAAAGTCCTTTTGGACAGAGGATATATATGGGACCTGGAAACGTTTTTTTTTTTCTTTCTGGGAATGTTTTGAAGTGGAACAGGATGTGGGACACACTTTTTGCTCCAACACATATGAATACGTTGTACTGTGCAGTCAACTCTGAGATAATAAACCCCTCAGTTAACCAGCATTACAATTAACAAAATGTGTGTCTGCCAAAAAAATCCTTTGGTTTACAAACCAAAATTTGGTTAGCGAACTTTTTTCTTTGAAAAATTCCTAAAAGTTGATGATTTGTAAGTATGAAAATTATGGTGCAATTTAATTGAAAATATTTTATCCTTGCACTTGTTCTGAAATTTCTGCCTTTTGGGATTTTAAAATGTGTGGTATTTCGCTTTCATTTTTTCCCAGCCAATCTATCATTGATGTACAGTACAGATATGCTCATTCGTGACAGAACTACTTGCTTTTCTGTTCTTAGTTTTGTTCATTGTCGCCAAGTGTTTAAAAGTGTGCTTATTTATCCAACAGTCAAATTGTTGTTGGTGTTCACTATACTCCTTTCTCCAAATTTTGCAGCAGGTCTTTGAAGAACTGCAGAAATGTAAAACATACCAACTTCAAAACAGTTTAAGAATGATGTAACTTTTGTTGTATATTCTCCAAGTGAGTTTTCTGTTTTCCCAACAATATCTCTGAACTGTTAGCAGCATGAAGATGAAAAGCACCTCTCATTGGACGCATTCAAGTTCCAATGAACCAGTCAGTCAAACCAAAATTATCAGATTGATGTATGGCTTACTCAACATTATGGCTTAATCAACTCACTCTGATTACATTTGAAGGTTCTGAATTTTAAAAATTCAATTTTAAATTACTTATTGATGGGGTCATGGAGCTAATTAAAGTCTACCCCACTGAAGTCTATGGGACAATGAAATTTGGTTGACATACTTTTGTCTAGAAGCAATTAAGTTTCCTAACCAAGGGTTCACTGTACAGCAGGAAATGCACCTAATATGCACTCACACTCATTGCAACATCCAAGAAACTCTGATTACTTCAAGGGTTCCATGTGAAAAGTGAATCACTTATCCTGAGGTTGAAATCCATAAATTATTTCAAACATTTGGTCACAGGCGGTGTTTAAAAAAAAAAGAAGAAAGAATTCAAATCTAGGAAAACTGCACGTATGCCTGACAGTGTATATAGTAGGTGTATTTTGCATAAATGCGATATACTGTATATGCATGTGATGATAGGTCATTCCATTGTCAGCAAACCACGCTGCTGATCTTCGCCTGACACCTGACACGCAGCGCGCATGCGACATCAAATTTGAATACTTGAATCGATGATTTTCCTCTTTGGCGTATGTACTGTACATCCATTCACTGCAACTGTATTTGTGCATTTGTTGCATCATTTGTTGATTATTGTTAGAATTATTGAGGTTGATGTCGTCGCGGGTTTCGCTCTCATATCGGATCGGTCTTCCGCGTACACTGCATGTTGTAGCTATAGCCTATTTATATATAATATCAGGCATACATACATACATACATACATACATACAAACATACATACGTTCGTATATATACGGTGCAGCGACAGTGATGAGGGTATATGAGGGTGACGGTGACGAGTGGAGCGAGAGCGGAATGAAAACAGGCCTTTCTCAAGATGGCGCGTGGGACAAAGCTATTAGCCGCACACCCGCGACGACGACGACGACGGTGTCGGCAGCACGGGCCGCTCGTTTATCCCCCTCTATCGTCGTCGTTTTCTCTTGTCGTCGGACAAATAACCGCACCGCCGCTGCGGGGGGAAGGGCATTGAATTTATATGTCACATGTGTCTGACACCGTGACCCGAAGCCGCATCCATCACCACCACCACCACCACCACCATCCAAGCATCATACACACACAGGGGTCGGATGCGATTTCCTGGCTTATCACTGGCCGGCTTTCTTCGTAATTCCTTCCTTCGTTTATATTGTCGTGTTCCTCTCGTCCCAGCAACTGCACCTCACACCAGCAATGCAGTATACAACAGAACTGCACTCAGGACTGGCATGTATTTATACTGCACTGATGTATAGACAGTATTTCAGGTATATATATATATATATATATATATACAGTGCATTGTATATATAGCTGCGAGCATAGAGGCGGGAGGAGGTATCATTGTTCCTTATTATATAGGAGTGATATTACATTGCAGAATATTGTGGTGCTTCATTATTGGTGCAGACTGAATATACTCTCTTCTCAAATTTTTGTTTGATTTACCCATTGCTGCATTGCACAGTTTTCGGTATTTCGTCGTTATTTTTGTTCTCTTCTCTTGGGTGATTTCTCAGCAGATATTGTATGAATGGGACGTAACAAATGAACATCTCGTCAAACAATCCATCAGGAAACTGTGGTTTTGATTTTGTCATTTCCAGTGGATCGTAGAAGACAGCAAATATTTCAAGGGAAACCGTTTGATACACAACAATAATCAACAAAGTAATCAGGGACACGTTATTAACGTTGTGTTAATTATATGACAACGACGGCACGAAACCAACCTTTATTCTGCGTTCGGGTGTGCGATTTTATGGATGAAATGAGAAAAAAAACTTGAAATACTTCATTTCCAAAAATGTGCACACCCTCTAATTGTGATTGCATATTCCAATGCAATTTCCATTCAACTTCGTTCATGGTTTTCATCATATACGTCCTTTGAAAAATCCTAGTCTCCGACCAACATCAGTACCATTGATACTTTACTTGGTTGCTTTTTGTATACAGTGCGTACAATTCAACAAGAAAAAATGTGAAGGCGATTGCAATTTTAAAAAAAAGGAAGGAAGCGGGGAGGGGAGGAAGAAATGAAGGGCGCCGTGACCGTGCCTCAGAGCCTCACACATACATGGAGCAAACCCAAACTTTCTCCATGTTCATCCCATACGGGTATAACAAGGAATTCTCTCTGATGAAGGATCGCAGCAACACAGCTATTGCCTCTTATCCCTCTATTCCACTCCCATCACCCTCTTTTTTTATTTTTTAACGCTTGGCGTATATATATTAGTTGCGTCGCAGATTCTCGTCATGATTCTTCGGTTGGGGGGACGATTTGATGATGCGTGGTGCATGCATCACCACCACGTCGGTGTTGAGGCACGACGTCAGCTTCACAGCATCATCAGTAACTTTGATTCCAACAAGCGGGATTCGGGTACCTAAGTACAGTATACACATACAGCAGGTATACTGCATACGGAAGGCAGAAATCCCAATGCTGCGCCTCCCCCCACCGTTCCCACGTCCTTCAAGTCGAATTTTCGAATGTATCGTCATACATGTACAGTGTAGTTATTACAGCGTACAGTACTTGAATGTAGGTTTGGCACACGGTTTTTTCACCGCAACATCAGTCTTCTCATTTTCCTATCACCTGTTATACAATGCTATTTATATGGTCCTTCCGAAATAGATGCTGTGGCGAGTAAGAAACAGAGTTGAACATGCATCAATAATAATAATAATACAGTACAGAGGCGGGAAAACCTGCTTCCGTCTCAAAGTTTTGTGAATCCCACCATCAGGTGCCATACACGTATGATAGGCTCTCAATTTCTTCAATTTCTGTACTGTATACTGTATATTTAAAAAAAAAAGAAACACACTTCCGAAGGGAATCTAGCTCCGGTCAAGATATTCATTATTTTGACCCTCTTTTTCTTCCATGGATGCTTATGCTCCACTTTCAAATATACCCAGGATGTGCATCCAGCACATCACTGGTTTTGATGGTTTAGTTTAGACTTCATACGAAGAGAAACGTCTTTGCTAACACGAGTCTTTCGGCTTAGTTATATAGGAAGTACAATACTAATCGGAGTATTGTTTTCATGATTCATATTGGAGTCGGTGCTGAGGACGATGCAGAAGCATATAATATACCTACATTTTAGTTTTTTTGCTTTCTCTCTATAAAGAAAATCCTTGAACAGTATTGGTCTGCCGATTCGTGGCTATATACAGCCTTGGAAATACTGTACTGTTCTTTTGAACACGACACTTGGATCCCCGGCGGATGAGAGACCTCGATGAACCACTCACAATTTGAAGCGAAACAGTATTTCTTTCGCACGCTTCATCGCAATTGTCTGTCCCTATATATGCGTATTTTCAAATTCCATGCACGTACGCACGCGTGTGAATGCCAGTCATCGCGGTAATCCAACTTAGTCACGCCACATGGATGAGAGCTGGTGCAGATGACAATTCATGGGGGACATGGCATGGCATTTGTCTTTATCAGATCGATGATATGTACATCAGTATACTGCTGAGAATACCAACAGGGAATCAAAGGAAAATTGCCCCTCACCTGTGAATCCTTGAGGCCCAGCTTCTCGGCCAGCTTCTTGCGGTCGGGTTTCGAGATGTACTTTTGCACCTGGAAGCGCTGCTCGAGTCCCTGTCGCTGAGTGTCGGAAAACACTGCGCGACGCATCATGCCGCGTCGAGGCTTCCCGCGGTTCAGCGGCGCCCACGGCAGGGACGCCCCGGCGGCACCGAGAGCACCAGGAGGCAGATGCGGATGCTGAATGTGGTGGTGGGGGTGATGGTGCGGGTGGTGGTGGTGGTGATGAGGGTGGTGGTGGTGGTGGTGCAGGAGGCCCGCCGAACCCACAAACCCGGCGCCAGCTCCGGTTGTCGTCGTTCCTGCCGATGAGGCGGCTGCAGCCGCCTCTGCCGCTGCTGCCGCCGCCGCCGACGTCACAGCTGCTGTCGGTGAGACGACGAAATATACGGCATTCAATATATACGGCACAAAATATGCTCTTTTCAAAAAGACACCTCATCGTCATTCTTCAGCATCAGTCTTTTCATCCAAACCAGCTTAACCCAATTTTGTAAAAAGAACAAAGAATCAGACTGCATGTGCTGTGGAGATATAGATGTAGACATTCCAGTAGTATTGCGGACTAGGCCAAAAAAGAAGAGAAACGAAAATTTAAAAGAAATGAAATTGCTCAAGTGTTGAAGAACAGAATCTCCCGCCGCCCTCAGAACCGTTCATTGCCGCTATTCTTCGTTGAGAATGACCGAGTCGGGGAGGCTTATGTCATCTATACACCTTTTCACTTCAAGATCGAATTCCTCGCGCACAATGAACCTCGCGCAATTGATTCACTGAGTAAACCCATTGTATAGTTGTACACACTATTACTCATTATGTGTCCCAACGGGAACCTCATCATGCTGATTTCCAGGATGAACGTTCGGATCTTCGTCTTCCTCGAAAAATAAAAGAGATTATGGAAACCCAGGATGACACATTCGTCAACAAATTTGAAGATGATGGTGTGATATGAATCCATCATTCTCATCCACTCGAGATCAGTTAAAATGCAAAGAGTTCTTTTCGCGAAAAAATAAGAAAAAGAATTGTTCAACCGCTTTAAAATTCAAGCGATGAAGAATTCGTCGATGCATATCACATTTTTACGGGAGAGTATGCGACAGGTATAGTCGATCCAACGCCCAAGCAAGTTCTATGAAGAGTCACAGCAGAGGCTTGAATTGGATTTCATGGAATTCTGCTCGTATTATATGTTCAAAAAATATGAGTATGATGTATGACGTTGAAAACACGTCACACCCAAGACACTCACGCGCGTATATTTATACAAGTGTCAGCCAGCAGCAGAGAATCAGGTAACAAATCAGAAGAAGAACAAATAAGACAGGGAACGACAAAACAAATTTCGTAATATGCCTATTATTCGAGAGAAGGAGATGGGGGTGTGGGGAATATACAGGGGGGGATCAGGATTTCATTCAAGGAAGCAAGAAGTGACGTGTGTGTCTGTTTTGCTGCCTGCCTGTCATATCTTGCGGCAAGTGAGTCAAGGGGTATTCATGAGGAAAGTTTGGCCCGCCTGCTGGCCGTGATGCTATATAAGCTGCAGCCGGAATATAATAAGGAAGGTGAATATAGTATAGGTGTAAGGTATATAGGATCGTAAAGGAGGAATAAGGATGGATCATGGATGGATGGGGGATGAATCCAACGGCTTTTACATATTTCAGCAGATACGGTGCTCCAGAGTCTCGTCTCGTCGTCATCTCGGCCGCGGGATTATGCATACATGGCCAAGTTTTCGGGAGTCAGCTGGAGAGTTGAGGAGTATAGTGGGTGACGACGAGTACGACGACGACAACGACCAACACTTGCATGCAGAGTGAGATGAGATACGAGAGGAGGAGCAGCAGCAGCAGCAGCAGGAGTGCTAGCGTCTCAGCTTTATTTATTCTCGGCAGCAGCAATCACTCGATCCTCGGCGCTTATTCTCGACTCCTCCACGCACCGTGCCACGTTATTTATGCCGCGCCGGCTGCCCGGCATGATTTATGCATTCGCATTCGCCCTCCCTGCCAAATATCATCAACTCATTTCCGCCGTTATTCCTCGCCGCGGGGCTGCCACTGACACGCCGATGAGGGTCAGCACAGCACAGTCGTGCCTCTCCTCCATCCTCGTCATCGTCATCGTCTGCCCCCTTCCCTTCCTCCTCTCGGTCCATCAGAGCACACGCTTATCCCACTGCAGGAGTGGTACCTCGGTACGGAACACGTCAACTATATGGCTTATATATATTACAGTACTACACCTTTTTCTTTCTCTCTCTCTCTCTGTCTCTCTCTCATCTGCGTTTCCTATTAGCACCATGATGAGGATGAGCACCTCTGCATATTGAACAATGGTGAAAATATTGCACTGCATCACAAAAGTGAATATACAGCCCTTTACTGCATGAAGAAATGAAATACTGTACTTATGTTATACATCACTAAATGTGACAGTACATCATAGTAGCGAATCCTGCATATTATCTACAGTCAAACCACATTAACCTGCTCCAAAATAAACCGCCACACTCACCTCTTGCCAAATTTTTCCCCCAAACAAATCTCCCCAATGTTAAGAGGATGGGGAAACCTTGCTAGGCCACCATCTGTCAACAATTTTCTTACCACAAATAGGCACCTGCCCTTGTTTTCTACCCTGTTAAATCACCAATGTTTCAATTTCCTGACCAATGATTTCCTCTTACTTTTTCTTCAACTCCGCACTTTTTCTTGAAACAAGCCACATTTTTTCTTCTTTGAAACATACTCTTCAGAGTTTAATTTTTTATCCACAAATCCTTGAATACTATGGTCTGCAAGTGCTCTTCAGAAACTCTTTTAAGTTTCCAAATGATGTGCAACTTTTTTGTCCATTTGTATTCAGATTGGCTGCAAAACATGATTATCTTCATGCTTCCATGAAGAGATTCCTTCAGAATTTCAAATACTCCCAAAAGTTAGGCAGGGAATGCATTATTGAATGTTTTCAGACATTTGTGGCTAGTTTGACAAATGCAAGGATTCTTTTTAATATTTTAAAAATTCCTATAGATATTCTCTTACTGAAATAAAACCCTGCTGATGCCTAAAATGTATCACCATATGAAGTTGTTAACATGATGCAAGCATAAGAATTTATATGTATGTGCTGTGGTAATGTTTTGAAATATTTCTAGTTTATAAAAGAAGACAACCCATTCTAGTGGAAAAATATTGAATGAATCACTTATATTTTAGATCATCATCAGCATACAAATTGGCAAGCCATTTTAAACCATCACTACTGTTTGATGATCTGCATCATTACCATCATTACTGTTTGATTGGCAGAGAGACTGCTGGAAGTTGCTAACACTTAAATTGGAATCTTCAGAAGTGTAAAGGATAGGAAGCAAGGATTTTGAAGCATCCCCTCTCTTTGTCTTTTTTCATGTTACAAAAATTTTCTTTGAGTTGAAAATCTTCTAATGGAATAAATATGAAGTTATATCTTTCCAACCATCCAGGGACAAGAAAAAATCCGTCTCAGTTACAATGAGAAAAAAGTTTTCCTCTCATTTCCTGTGATCTTGTTTTGTGTGCCAATGACATATTCCACACCCTCCCATCCCCTGTCTATTGAGGGTGGTTAACCACCACCCTCAATAGACTGCCACACTTATCAAACTACCAAAATCTTGCTGCAAAGACATTAGCGGATGAACAGGGTTTCATGCAAATCATGCGCAGGACCGCAGTAGTGTATTTTCTGAAATCCTTGTAAAATATGGTACTGTACAATACAGTACTGTATATCATTTCATCCTGGAATTAAAACCAACTGTATGTATTTGTTACCTTATTCTCATCTGTGTTCCCTCATTGCTGCCTAATATATGCAAGTCAAGCTGGAAAATCATTAAAAATTCAGTTGCATGAACTCAGACGGATGGATTCCTCACGCACATAGGAATATGCTCTTGCCTGGAAACATGTGGACCATATGTATGTTCATCACCTGAGGTATATACTATATAGGCACCAGCACACTCGTTCAGTACAGTGCGTTAACCCTTGGGCGGAGAAGTCAGACTTTTTCCGCAAAATTTGGTGTCAGTAATAAAAAAAAATAACAGTGCATCCAGGGCAAAGTCGGGAAAAATCCTGCCATATTTTTTAAATACTGCAGAAAAAGTTTGCCCAAAAATGAAAAAAGCCATATCCAAGGATGAGCTTTTTTTATCTCATCCCCAGATTAGGTTTACTAGTTTGAGCCTCTTGGCCTTTTCATTTTGGGCACCAGAAGAAGGGTTCCCATTTAGAGGCCACAAAAGATTAGTGGAAAAAGTCCAACTTTGGGAAATCACAACAACACATGTTTGCCGGACAAAGTCCAACTTTGCCCTAGGCCACCTGGCTTGGCTGTCATGGCCTTCAATAAAATTTAAACATGGGCCCACCCAAGAAAATATGTACTTCGTCCTGCAATGGGAAAGACCCTGTCACTGCGGAAGGGTTAAAGATGTTCTTGAGCAGGGTTGTTAATTGCAATCAAAAATTCAACTACACAATTGAAATTGCTATTGCTTAGAAAATGTTTTGCGCAATCAAAATCAAAATTCCTAACCCACTGTTATACTGTTGCACAATCAAAATTGCGATGGAATTTCCGGTTTTTTCCAAAATCAAAATCGCAAGTTTTAGCACAATCTTACAAGTTCATCTTGAAGAATTTTAAATCAATTTTGCTTATATATTTTCTGTGCTATTGTAACACTTGCAGCATGAAGATCTGGTAGAATTTACATTGTTACATTCAGAAAATATTGGAAAATTAATCCTGTTTAGTGACAATTTAGTGACAACACTCCATGACATAGTGCCAAAAATTTCCTTGGGTCAAATCTCCCTCTATTGTATTTTTAAGAGAAACCCTGACTGCTGCAGAATTTACTTTCCTGATGGAAAAATAGGCCAACATCAGAGAGATTAGGGCACACTTCTCAAAATATTATCAGGTAATTGAGAATCAGATGTCAATGCTCATGTGTTAGGGCAGGAATGATTGGCAGATTGATACATTTCAATCTGTCAATCTAGTATGGCAGATTGACCAGAGCAGGTCCCAGACCCAGAGAGCTGTTGAGTGGAATGATCTTTAGCAAGAAAATGCATCCATTTTATACTGGGGTTATTACCTTTCCAATGAGAATCTCAGACACGGCAATGATAAAGAAAGGGTTTTCAGTAGGTCTCATCCCCATTCAGACTGTAATCCAAGGACTGGCTGGGAAAGTAGGGGTGAAAGGAGACTCCTTCTTTCACCCCTTCTTTCTCAGCCTTGGATCTGAGTCCATGGATAATGTTCCTTGGATTCCAGTCTGAATGGGGATTAGACCTACTTAAACCCCTATCTTTATCCTTGCTGTGTCTGTGATTCTCATGGAAAAGGTAGAAAACTCAGTATAAAAGGGATGCATTTTCTTGCTGAACATCATTCCACTTGACAGTTCTCTGGTGCTAGGACCTGCTCTGGGTTTCAGTTCTGTGTTTCATATCACAGCTTGGACCCTGGAAGCTATCCATCCCAGTTGGACTTTAGCCCTCTCATGTGTTTTTATGAACCTTATTATCCTTACAGTTTCTGTTTTGGGTCATGTAATTAATTGTGGTTCATGTGTCATTCTTCTTTTATTAGATTACTTTCAAATACTTATTCAAAGTAATATCTAAAATAATATTCTTGATGTTATTAATGATGGAAATCATTCTATCATCAATGAAGGAATCTACCCTCTTGTAAAAAATCATAACTTGAAAAAGAACAAAACTTCTTCAGAATTGGAAAACAAACTGATTTTTTTCCCATTTGAAACACTTTTTATTAAATGATTGCTGAGAATTCACCATAAAAATTCAAGGAAGAATTGCGATTTTGATTGAATTGATTTTTGCACAATCACAAGCAAAATCAAAGGTGTCAAAGAATTGAATGCACAATCGAAATTGCAAGTTTTTTTAAGATTTTTATATGCACAATTGAAATCGCAAGCATTGTTATTTCGATTGTGCTTGTGATTGTGCAGGACTGTGGCGCAATTAACAACCCTGGTCCTGAGTGATTCAACTGTTAGTCGGTTCACATGAGATGACCAACTTGACTGACCATGATGAATGATGTCTTCTAATCGGCAGCAGATTATTACAAGAACTGCTGTACTGTACAACCCGAGAGTCTGGAGTGCACATATACAGTACATATGAGTACAGTATAGGGAAAGCCTTGCGCGCCTCAAATCGCAGCCATACATGCATACACCCACCTCAGATTTGGCTGGAGGTGAAATAAATACATGGGGCTCATCTGAGGAACTGCAGGAATGCCTGCATTATCACAGCAGAAACCTGAATATTAACAACAACCAAAATGGAAAAGCAAGAACCAAAAAGATAACAATGGTGCCATCGGTCTATACTGGCTATACACGTGGACGCTGCATAAGCTTCAAAGCTCGTGGTTATTCTGGAATTTCCAATGAATTCCTTTACTTTGAGCCATCAGGTATGCGCAAAGAAGTGCATTTTCAAAAGTTGACACCTTCTGGTAGTGGAGATAACCCTTCGAATTGACCAACACTTTGGAAATTAAAATTCCTGCACGCTGGGTTCAAATATCAAACAATTCTGTTGCATTGGTCAATAGTACTCTGAAAAAGGACATCATTCAAATTCCTCATTTGTTTACATTTTAACCCTGATAACCTGAATCGCCCCAAGTCAATTTTTTTTCCAATCTCCGCCTGGAATCCTTGAAGGAAATAATGCATCATAAACCTCTCTAACTTCTCATCTCACACCTCCAGGACTCAAATTTTCCAAGCCCGTTTGGAAGAGAAAAACTATAAAAAAAAGTTCTTGATGTGCTTTGAAAGAAAATCAAAGACTAATTGGGCAAAGAAACCCTTCTCCCATGTGTATAGCATTCAGTCAAGTCATTGGAAGAGCAATTTCAGGCCCAGAATACACTTACAATTACACTTACAATTTCCTGCAATTCTTTCTTCAGTTTCCGCAACCAAAATGCTTCTTTCCCTTACTCTCAAACCTCCATATATAATAACTGGAATTTTTTTGCTGATGGTCCCTTGAAATTTGCAGAGA